CCCCCCCCCCCGCCACCGAGAAATCGATTTGTCCGAGTGCAAATAATTAATCCGTCCATTACTAGCACCCGATGCTAATAAGCATTCTCTCTGTGAAACGAGAAGCGCGAGATTAAATAAACAAACCCCCGATGGAATAAAGAAGGATGGCGTGTCGCGTCGTGTTGTGCCGAGTCGGGCCAGGTAATTAACTTTCTCGTCCCGAGTGGTACACATATCACACGGTACTAACGATGAATATATCAAGAAATTTCAGTCCTACATTAAGTCTGCTTAGTTCTAAACCCTCGAGTCCAGTCAGTAGAGAAAACGGAAATAACTTCCCATTTGTAGCATCAAAGGGATTACAAAAGAAGACTTTTGAAGACTTAATGAAGACCTAAATAGACTTAATGGTAGAACTGAAATTTCGACTTGACCGTATATTACAATTCAGCAACTAGCTTATCATGTTTTCTCGTGTGCGCAATATATAATAAATTTCGTCGACTTCTTAATTGGACTTATTTCACTTTACAACCTCCTCAAACGCTGAATTTCACTTTGCGCGCGACACAACACGGGAACGAACGTAGCGTGCGAGTCGGGGGGGGGGGGGGGGGGGGANAAATCCGCCGAGGTATCGACTCGATTTCGCGGGTTTCATACGCGATGTGACACAATGGCGGGCGACCTCGCTTCACCCGCCGCCGAATAATCGTTTTTCGCTCATTTATCTTCGAACGGTCCTCGTTTATCGTTGACCGCAATTCGGCGGGACAGTTCGGTCGTTCGAAGATGAAAAATTCACGAGCCGACGCAAGGGCCAATTGCCTCCTCCTCTCTCTCTCTCTCTCTCTCTCTCCCCGCGGCCCACCAGGAATTGATCAGCCGGTGATTATCGCTTTATCGACGCCGTCAATTTCGCGCTTTTTTCTTTCTTTATATCCTAAAATGCCGACGAGTTAATCGCGCCACTGTGTTTACGCCGGCACGACGATCGTTAATTATATCGCGCTTTCGAATTATTCCGCGGACTCGCATTATCCGCGATGGCGTGAGCGCGTGCGACATCGAATTTTGCACTAAATTTGTTTTGAATTAACGGCAGAGACAGAGAAAGAGGGAGGGGCAGAGGGAGAGAGAGAGAGAGAGAGATATTGGTGTCGACAATAGGAATTACGTTCTCCGGATTAAACTATTATATAAGTACGCTTCCATAAACATCGGTCGAAGTTAATTGCGCGATTCGGTCCGATTCTCTCCACTTCTATCCGCCAGAGTACCGCTGGTTACCGGACAGATGTGGAGCGAACGAACGGACGGAATGGAAGCGGGACGGAAAGTGGGGCCGGTAGGTGAAACGCGCTCACACATCCACCTCGTCTCATCCGGTTGTTTTTTATTGTGTGTTGCAGCGCTCTCGGATCCGCCGATATTCGCCGAGCCGATACCGAACGTCACGGTGGCGCTGGGAAGGGACGTGAGCCTGCCCTGCGTGATCGAGAACCTCGGGTCCTACAAGGTGAGAAACGCTCTTTCGCTGAGAGGGGAACTCGCGGGACAACTGAGCGCGTAAACGCTGCTTCCGCGATCGCGAGATATATATATATATCTATATATAAACGAAGCGTCTGTCTTCCTTCAGTAACGCGGGCCACCGGTTCCTCCGATCCCTGTAATTTTCATCTTCGTTTGCTGCCGGCGAACGTGTTTTCCCCGGCCGGCGGTCGGAACTAGCCTCGTCCTTCGCTAAACAGAGTTCCCTCAATTATTCGTTAACCGGATTACGAAGAGCGTGTTCCAGAACGCGTGCGCGCCAGCGAGCGAGCGAGAAAGCCGTTCTCGCGAAGGCTCTCTTTACGAAGTTCCGCTTTTTGCATTTGCCAGAGGCCGCTAATTTTCCACGTTACATCGCGCGCAATATATTTCTTCGTCTTAATTTATTTTACTCGCGCGCGAGACCAGATAATATTACGTTATTACGTCGACGCGTGTGCGCAATATGTAATGACTGCACGGGAGTCGTGCACACACTCACATCACACACTCACATCGCGCCTGCTTTCGTTCCCTCGTGGAGCTGGAGAACGCATCGTGACGCGCAAAGTCGCGGACAAGAAGAAACTCCGCTTGCCGCGCAACTTTTTCAAGAAAGACCGCAATTATCGCCGGTAGTGATAAGTGCGACGCGTTCGCAACGACGCCGGGGTGAACGAGCGGGGATATGAGCGGCCGAGCCGAAATTTTGGCCCTGTGTTAATTCTACAACATAGTAGGAGCTGAGCCAGTAAAATAGGTTCAATTTCAATTATAATAATATAATATAACCTCTACTTTCACCCTGATGATGTCTTGAATCTTTCCTGTTTCAGCCGTTTTCTCTGTTTTAGCGTTAAAATAGGTCGACAAAGATAGCGTTAAAATTTCGACTCGAGCATTGGCCGTGATTAATTTCTCATTTCGAGCCCGCGAAAACCGGAAGGGCTCCGCCACCGATCGGAATCGGCCGATCTTCGCGAAAGTTCTCCGGGAGAAGGGAGGGGAAAAAAGCACGTAATCGCTATCTGCCACGCTGCGCGAGTTCGTTCCGATGGCAGTGAAGACCGCTGTTAGGCAACCGTATTGGAAACGCATCAGTTGTCCCGTCAGGGAGTTGGATGCGACTCTACATCGCCGCCTGCAGGCGATCAACGTTACACACGAACAAACGTATCGGCAAGCGTAACGAGCGATGTAGTTTTCCGAGCGAGACGGATATACGTACGCGCGCGGGCGGGGTGAATGAAAAATCGGGGGAATCCTTGAACTTCATTATAATTCCGTTTAGAATAATGTTCACTCATCAGGGGACTCTGTCGGCCTTTGTCCACCGATACTATTCGTGATACTCGGTATAATATTCACTTCCGGAATTGTTTTTCACGGAAAAAGGAAGATTAGCTGCAATAGTTAAATTAGTTGTAACGTATGGACACCTGAAACTTCAGCAGCGTAAGCAATTTTAATTACTGCAATAACAAACTCTCGTGTTACAGCAGCAAACGTGCCGCAGCAATTAAAATTGCTTACGCCGCTAAAGTTTTAGGCGTCCATATGCTGCAACTAGTTTAGCTACTGAAACTGATTTTTTTTCCCCCCGTGTTTGTATCGCGTATACATGCTTTAACAGCTTCAGCGTGTTCGCTAAACCAAGTTTTATCGTGCGATTTGGCAAATATTTTAAAAATATTAATACCCCCCGAATCGAAATTTCGAGCCTACCTCCGACCTGAAAATTCCATTTGGAGTCTACTTTGATACTTCGAAGCCATCGTCCTCAGGCGGTAGCGGTGCGTCGGACAATTTCACTCTCTCACGAGAGAAAGACGACAGAGCGCAGATTGGACAACACGCTGGCCGATTAATTTAGCGAAAAGCGACGCATTTGAAATTGCACTCGATCCCTCCACTTTTACGTATGCTTCCTCTATCCCCCTCTATCTTCCGCGTGAATACAATTACTCGAGAGCCATATTCATACTCGGACAGGCGTGTTTATTCCGTTAGTCGGAAAATTGCGCCAGGCACGCGATTAGGTCTCGCACCGGCAGTCCTGAGCAGCGAACGGGACCGCCGGCCGATCGAGAACGCACCGTAGTGAAGTAATCTCTTGATATATAAAGTCCGTTGACCTCCGAGGACCCAAATTCGTACGACCTTTCTTTCGTGCGGGATGTTTGCGGCTCGCGTGAATCTAGGGCGATATTTTATTGAGGAAAACGTCGGGACCTCTTCCGAGTTTTCTCGATGCGAGCTTGCTCTACTTGTGGAAAACGAACAGCTTCGACGAGATCGATGCCCGGTGTGACCAATGGATAATGAGATAAGGGGAAAATAATTTGTTATCCGCCGTCCAACGTGAAACGTGAACTCTAGAACCTGGTCAATCCTATCATAATGGCGATCGTTATTCAAACTTTTGACAGCCATTAGAAATTGGGGTAAGTTTTACAAGAGAAAAATTACAAATTACAAACGGTCATTTCGCTTTGGTAGTGTTAAGTTCGCTAGCAAAAAGCGTTACTGCTCCTAAGAATTTTTTCTCAACGGCATATCGTTTATCATAGCGCTACGTCAGCCGTGTTTGGCTCTTCACGGCCCTGTAATTCCAATTGGAAAAATCGCAACAGCAAGCCGCGATTTTGCATGACACGTCGAGAACGCCGATCAATCGTGGAACATCTTGGGCAGAGTTACCGCTCCGTTCTGGCTTCGCACGAGTCCGCGCGAGCGGGCAAGAAGAAGGCGGTTATTAAGGCGAGACCGACCGGCATGACTCGGCGAACTTTCCGCACGATAACGCAGAGCCTGGAAAATCACTGATATATCAGACGCAGGAAACCGGGAAATTGAGATTGCATCAACTTCGGAACTTTCCTACGACTATTAAGAATGCCATTAAAGTGATACCCGCTGCCTGTAAGCGAACGTTTTCCGATCGCGCGACTCCTCGGCCCAATAAGCGTCACCCGCGACTCGTCCTGCTTCTTACGTGATATTGAATAAAACAGTAATTTTTTTTCCTCCCCTCCTGTCGCGATCCGATGCTTCCGGCTTGTCGATAATTTATCGAGATATCGCTCGTCGCTCGCGCCTATCTCTTCCTCTCTCTCCCTTTCTCTCGCTCGCCGAAGCGCTCGAGAGCAGCTTGAGGATTTTCCGCCTCTTTAACGACCGCGAAAATAGACCATTGTGCGAGAACGGGTATTCCCTTCTTCGAGCTGTGCGCGAAATAGTTTCCATTCCGGCTTTGGCAGGAATGTACGCGCAACGACGATGGCGGCTCGATTTCACGAGATAGCGAGAGAGCGCGGGCCTCGATCGCGCCCTCACCGTTCGTTGTTGTTTCAACCGGCTGTAAAGGTATTTGGCTTGAGCCCGGTGGCTCGTGAATCGTCTCCTCGGCCGGTCGTTTTCAGACCGTCGAACCCGCGGGACGCGGAGAGGCTTTCCACGCGCGCCTTAAATAAAGCCTACCCGCGCTTTGAATTACACATCCGCGAATTTTCGCTTAATCCCCCGAATTAAAAGCGAGATACGTCGCGATTTATCCGGGCGCGCGTCGTGTTTATTCGCCCGGCGTGCGCGCAACGGCTCATTATTTTACGCGATTCGCATTTCCACAAATTGAACAAATAAATTGCAGCATATTATTTCATTTTGCGTAATATCATCGTGATATGTATGTGCGGCATTACGGTGTAATATATGTGCCGTCGGTAATTTATTACATCATGTGTTCCACGATTCGCGCTGGGCGCGAGCGCGCGCGCGCGCGTTGATTGTGCGCTTTAATGATTATTAAGAATTGTCCGCAACGTCGGCCGTCGGCAAACGGTGCGATGCATTTATCGCTCCCGGTGAATATTCGTCAGCGACGAGACACACATTTCACCCACTCGGCGGTGTACAGCTGCTCTTATTCTTCCCTTCTTCCCCCTCCCTCTTGCGTCCGACGAGTATAGACGGTCCGGGCGGGAGGGAGGAGGGGGAGGAATGGGAGAAAGAAGTAATCTAATTTTCTACGGCTCTGAACCACCTTAGAGAGTTTACACGGCGCCGTGGCCGACGGTGAGGATGCGCAATCGTTTTTTCTTCGGATTCAAAACACGTAGCACCACTGCGAGAGTCTCGTTAGAGTCGACATTTCGAGAGCGCACCGCGTTGCAGTCCTCGGCCGAGCTCTTTGATCAAAACGCCAGAAAATTTCATCTGCAGGGTGCCAAAGTTTCTCCTTTTCTGCTCTCTCTCTCTCTCTCTGCGCGCCTCGTCGAAACGCGAAGAAACCGTAGGACTTCGCGAATTTCCCCGGATTTAATTATGCCGGGAAGACCTTCTCGTCCCCGAGGGAGGGAAGTTGCCTCTTTGACCCTTTCCGCGAGATGAATTGCGCCGGTCGAAAAATCGCTTCGAATAAGCGCAAAGCGCTAATGTACGGGTGCGTGCCCGACGACGTGGTGGTATAAAATAAAATGCCGGTTGAACGTGAGGGAGCGAGCGCGCGCTTGTCTCTTGATTTCAACACTTTCAGCGCGTCACGGCGAGGCGTCGTTCCGCCGCGGACTACGCCGGAACTGTAATTTTTACAGTGCGTGAAAGGGGAGCGTTTCACTTAATGAACAATTACATTTGCGGAACGTTATTATCTCATTCCGCGGCTGCCTCAGCTATTTAACGAGACAATTACGGCCGAGGAAGCACTCGGAGATTAAAAGCAAATGTATGTTTACGTTGAATTTGCGCGCGAGGACTCTCCCCCTCGGGCGGCGGGGGAAGTCGCGTTCCGGTGAAAAATTGAATCCCGCGAGAGAGGAGAGAAAGGCGGAAAGGCGGACGCAGGAACGTTTCGCGATCGAAGCCGAGGATTGCGGAAACGGGAGACGCGGAGATTGGTATTTAAAACTGCTAGCGTTTAAATAGCGCGAAAGTGATCCTGCAGCCGTCCCGTTTTATCGGAAATCATGGGTTAATCTAAAACTACTA